ATATGGAAAATGATATCCAAATAAAATGAAGCGGATTGGTAGGGATAGAAACTAATCAACCTTAGAATAGGGCCTAGCTTTGCAAAAATCAACAAAACCGGTGCCGAAATTTTTTTGTGCTTTTCTTAACCAATGTTATCATGTTCCTAAAGAAATTTGCCGAGCTTATAATGATGGGCAGCAAACGTACCAAACTTGTAATTTCCAGATGATAAGGTAACATAGAGTATAGAAATGAAATATAGTCTGCAAAAATCCTAAAGAGGATTTAGCAGATGTTTGTATTTATGGTGAATGTCCAACCCCTATAATTTTAGACCTTCTCCATAATTTGTTAAATTTCTCTCACATAACAAAAAGGCGATTGCCGTTTTAAAATCCGAGAATTTCTATGTTTTTTATACTTTTCTAATCTAACTTGTTCAGATGCAAGAGGAAATGCTGGCACAAGAGCCGACTCGTCCTCTTGAAAGAGTGCACGCTCCAAAGCCTGGAATTCGACAAGAACACGTGCGAGAACGATTTATCGAGAAGGAGCAGCCTCCACCGGAAAAACAGGTAACGAAAGAGTTTCTGCCCCTTTTACTTTATACTTGACAAGTCGACGAGAAAAACCACTGTGCGATCAATCATTTTCTTTTTTCCAAAAAAGCTTGCCAACCTGGACTCGAATAAGAAGTGTAAAGTAGACTTATCGCCTTTGATTATACATCATGCACAGCAGTCTTGCACAGGTATAAAAAAGATCAGAGGGTTCAATAGGTACAGAGCTCTTACCTGCTTCTCCTTAGAACTATTCTGATTGATTAATTAATTTAAAATTAATGAGACTAACACAAGGATTTTTAAAGAATTCATGGGTTTAACGGAAAGCCCCTTTAAGACAAATTTAAAACATTTTTTCTTACAAACTTCGACGGGGATACCTTTGATTTGCTTTTCGATTTGCTGATTTTGAAAAGCTTTTGATAGGGTTGAAACCAATGTTTTTTCCTATTCCTCTCCCATATCATGAGTGTTCAAGTCACACCCAGCAAATATTAGTTGCAAATATTCTCTACGTTTATTAAGAAACGGTAGCTCTTCAATAAATTTCGAGCAATGCTTTAAATAAATATCAAATAAATTTTCTGTGAGCCTTTCTCCCTGTGCAGCGTCAATGGAAAATCCTTTTCTTCATGGTTTAAGTAAGAATAAAGAAGGAAGCAAAAATTCCCATAAATGCATGGGTCTCTCGGTGTTTATCGGCTCTCGCGGGCTTCTCCTTTTTTTTCTATTCAACAATGAGCTGCTAACGGATTTCATCAAGGTGATGAGGTATCTATATGCGAAATTTCTTCAAAAGTTTAAAGGTATGGTTAACATACTACTTAGATTAAAGGATAGAGGTTCGGCCATTACTATGCGATACAAAGAAGTCCTTCATACATCTTGATTTTTCACAATACCCATCACAACAGTTAAGAAGAGATTTGCATTCAATTCTTTCTTGATGCTTCCAAGACTGCTTTGCTGCCGCTAATGAAGCAAGATCATTAGTAAGAAAAGAGGTAAAGAAGTTGCTGATTAGATTTCTTCAGAATCTATTGAGGCTTCGCAAACAAGTTGTTCCCAGGATATGTTTGTTGTAAAAGAGAATAGAATCTACGAAAACAAAGAATTAACATATCTCATGACAAAAGTGTAAATAGCGCATCAACGTTCAAGTCGAAGCTCGTGAATACTGCTCAGGAGAAGTGAATAAAAGGGGTATAAACATGAAAAAAGAACCTGAATACTATTATTGGGTTCATGCGGGATTACCTCTAAAGGAGTGGATCGCAGTTTAACTTCTCCAACCATTAATGAAACAAGCTTGAAACCAAACGTGTTGAAGGAAAAATCACGCGTATTTTTCTATCGTTCAGAGCTCTTCAAAAATTCCATGCTTGTTTTGCAAATTTTAAAATTAATATCATCGACAAAAAGCTACATATTTCTGTTTCCCTCGTTCATTCAAATGGTTTGTGCTCTGTTCGTTTTTATTAGAAGCCTTTTGGTAATTTGTCTAAAAATTCTATAAGCCAATTAAATAGAGTTCAAATTTGTTTTCAAAATTGCTGTATCTTTTCTAAACATAAATATCGGAGCTCCCTCTCAAAAGCTATTCAAAGAAATATTATACCATTGCCCAGCTCTTCACAAGGAACTATAAGTGCGAGAGAAATTTAATTTATGCGGAATGTCACATGCTATCTCTTCCTCTTAATTTCATCTCCAATTGCGCCTTAATGGCACATTATCCCCTCATATACGTCAAGTGCTCGCTTTTTTGATGAAAGGGTAATTTGCTGGTATGCGCCAAAGAATCTCATTAATCTCTTTGAAACCTCTATATTGTTTTTTTGTGACACATGTTTAGCGTTTTTATAGAGCATCTTTTGCATGTTCAATACGTCCTAACCATCGTGATTAGCCTATCGTTTATCTGTGTAAAGCTGGAGAGGCTAAACCTTGACCTTAATGTTTTTAGTCAGCACAAGCCACAGTCTATCAGTAGAGGGTTAATTGATATATCTTTCTCTTCGATAAAGTCCCCTTAGGTCAAGATGCTTCGAAACCAAACTTTTACCTTTGACAATTAGTTTTTTAAATTTAACATATTAAACGATAATTTGAATTTTTTGAAAATTTCGAATGTTATAAGGCTGATAGATATATCAATTGTACAGATTTAGTTTTAAAAAACAT